CATATCAAGACATCGGTCGGGGATGACTAGCCGCTGTATTTGTTGATGTATGTTGTCTGTTTAAGGTGTCGGAAGACGTTCATTGACTTGGCGGCAGTGACATCATAATTGAAATGGACGCCACAACGCCACACCACCGCCACTGACCATTGGCGTATCAGAGAACTGGAAACCGAAGCTATTTACACTCCCCCTAATCTTATCGTCACCAACTGAGTCCCATATAAAAACGACCGTCGGCTTGCCATAATTCGCTAATCAGACGCTCAACGACCTGGTGTTGTTCTAATTGCACTCCCTGACATGGATCCGATCCGCAAAAATACAATACTTATAAGCACACGACTTGACTGCCTTTGGAAGTGCTAACTTTGGTGCCCGGAATGTGTAACTTGTGGTGCCAACTCGTGAGGATGTAGGTCACCGAGAGGTTGCGGCTCATGGAAATGATGTGACTCAGTCACACTCTGTCAATGCAAATGATTCGATTCGAAGGTGGGCAGGGGAGAGCCAGGAGTTGATAGTTAGGTGGCTGCCATTGTCTTCTGGCTGCAGATAGCGTCGGGTGTACTCACAGCAATTTGTCACGATTTGTTTATTTTTAGCGGCGTTATGATACGGGATCGGGTGATGAATGCCAGCAGCAGTTTGTTTACACACAATGGGTAATGCTGTTGTAAGCAAAACTTACATCATAATGCAGGAACTTTGTTATTTACGCCGAACGCTGGATCAGTGGGTCTTTAATCATACACTATAAAATTCGTTGTATTGCTTAGCCACCGAAAATTCCAAATTAGCAAAGCGATTATAAACTATCTGAAGAATTTAAGTGGCTCATATCTTTGCTGCTTTCCAAGTCATCTTATTTTGTATATATTATTTCCTTAGCTTATTGTTTATATTTTATTGTTCTTGATACCAGCGATTTTATCTGTAGAATTCGCCTAAACACTTGTTGTTTCCTTTTTGAGACCCCCTTTCCCTTTCATTTATTTTAAAGTATTCACCTGAGTTCAATTGCATTTCTTATCAGCCTTTCTTTCCAAAAGTTACTTTATGACTCAGTCAACTCAGTCAGTGTCCCCAATGCACTGGCGCATGTGCGCTAAAACCCATATCGAACCCATTGTCCGGTTTCAAACAAAGACCTTGATGAGAGAGCGGTAACAGCTGGCTTGCGGGCTGCGGTTGAGGTCGATCTATTTTTGTATCTGGCCCGCAAACTTTTCCTGCTGTACAGGCATCTTCCATTAGTCACGCGAAAAACTATTTTCAGTAATGCCCAGCAGATAAGATATTTTGCGTGCTTGAACTTTGTTCCTTTGCAATGTGACGATTTCCCTGGCACTGATTCTTATCTGTTATACTAATCAGTGTTGTGTTTCACTCCCGCAGGCGGCAATCCGGCTGGAGGAACCAGCGGCCAAGGTGAACCACATCAAGAGCCAGCAGGAGGAGTGCGAGCTGAAGCTGGAAAAGGAGCGGGATGCCTGGGCGGCCCAGATGCTGGAACTGATTGCCAAAGAGGACGAGATCGTCAGCTGCATCCGCGACTATGTACTCAACCAAAGAAACTATCACGAGCGGGCCCTGCAGCACGTGAACGCCTCGCTGGCCCGCATCCAGGACACCATTCAGGGCACCGAAAAGTCTCGTTTTGGCACCTCGCTAAAGGAGCACCTGACATCCACCAACCGCGAGATCTCTTATATCGTGGAGCTGTGCTGTTGCTGTCTGCTGGAGCACGGCCTGGAGGAGGAGGGTCTTCTGCGCGTGGGCTGCGCCAGCACAAAGCTGCGCCGGATGAAGCACGCCCTGGAGGCACAGCACGTAAAGACACCGCTGCCGCTGGACTACCAGGATCCCCATGTCATTGGCTCCATACTCAAGCTGTACTTGCGCGAGTTGCCCGAGCCCCTGCTCACCTATGGCCTGTACAAGGACTTCATACGGATCGCAGAACGGCATAGCGAAAACGAGCGAAAGACGGAGATCAAGGCCACTCTGAGCAAGCTGCCCAAGGAGAACTATGCTAACCTAAGATACCTCACCCGCTTTCTGGCAGTCGTGCAGCAGCGCTCAGCACTTAACAAGATGAGCTCGCAGAACCTGGCTATCGTAATGTCACCGAACATGCTGTGGCCACGGATCGACAAGAGCAGCAACGCCCCGGCCGACTACATCGGCCAGGTGAACAGCTCCTCGGCGGCCAACATCATCGTGGAGCTGCTAATCAGTCAGTGGGACTACTTCTTTAGCGGCGAAGTGGAGTTCTATCTTACCCTGCAGAAGCAAAAGCTTTTCGTCGAGGGCAAGAGCAAATCAAACTCCTCCAACGAAAACCTGGATAGAAACGATAGTGGTAAGCATACTGGACAATCGGAATTCTATGAAGCGGGCCACTATACAGTATTCGACTTATGACAAGTTTTTTTATTGCCTTTTAACAAGAAACATTCGAGAATTCCACTGTTAGTATTTTCATGTGACATATGCTATTTTTAAAAATATTTCTTACATATCAAGAAGCTGTTAAAGTTTGTCCGTTATTAGTGGTTGTATTTTTTGTGCAATAAAATGGATTGGAACCAAATTTATAGTACTGCCTATGGAAGTAAATGGTGTCGGAGGGATACATTTATTAGTTTACACTACAATATTAGATATTATAGGCAGTAATTAAAAGAAAAATGTGATTTATTAATATCCAGGGAAAGTGGGAAAAAATTATAGAATTGAGTTTAAGTACAGAATGTTTTTCAAGCTTAGCTTTAGTTACCTAAATATGACTAGTTCGCATTTAAAGCTTTTAAGATACTTAACGATACTATTACATTTTCATTTGTAGAAGTCATGGAGAGTCCACGCTATGGTACATTACGAAGGCAGAAAGCCAATGCTCCCTCGCCGCCTACCACTAATGGAAACGGCACAATTATGACCACATCACAGACCTCGCACCGGCCTCATGCCAAGGAGCTGTTTCCCCAGCAGACGCCGGTTCAGCAGGAGAAGCCCGCCAAGCCGCCGCTACCAAATCTGCCGCAGTTTCAATCGCCAGCAGCTAGCCAGCCAACGCAGACGCAGCTGGAACCACTGCCCCCGCCTCCAGTAACGCCAGCCAAGCCTGTTCCGATGACGCGGACGCAGTTCTTCGGGCTGGACAACCTGCCTTCCCCCACGGCCGATCGCAAAAGCACCGACAGCATTGGCAGCTTCAAGTTAAAGCCTGATGTGCCGCAGAAGCCCCTGCTGCCCAAGCGGCCGACTGTGCTGGGGGTCGGGGTGCCCAAGGTAGATGGAAAGAGCGACGATGAGGGCGCTTCGACTCCCACCCAGGCGACAATTGATAACAGCAATGGCAGTGTACGATTTAAAACGGAACATTTTCTTGATAAGCTTCGTCAGGAGAACACCGAAACAAATGGAACGCGGGAAGAGCCGCCAGCGGCCAAGGAAAACAATCACAACCACGACCAGCCTGTTACAGCTGCAGAGCAAAATCAGCAGCAGGCGCAGCCCCAAGCCACGACACCTATTTCCCCGAACTCATTTCAAACGCCCAAGAGGCCAACGGTGCCAGCGCCACCACCTCCCACAAATTGGAAAACCTCGGATTAGAGGGGAAAATGGAGCCGTGCAGTGGGAACGGCATCAGAGTCATTAGGTGTTACTGTTTACTCGTTAAGACTTGAACGCACAGTAATATATATATTTATATAATTCAAATGATCCTTGCGGTAAGGAGACATTGTGCATTATAGAGAGAAGAGTCTCTGCGTATTCTGCATTTGTATTTTTGCCTTGTTCATAAGCAATCTAATTTGTACGTGTTTAGCATATAACAATATATCAAGCGATATCCACTTATGTATGCATATATAGTGTATAGTAGGCCACCATAACTCAATTGTCGAAATTTGATTTGTTAGCCCAAGCGAGCTGTCAATTGTTAATCCTTGTTTGAAAGGTTGTGATACATCAGAAAGGTTTTGTGTTTCCTTAATTTTTTGCATTGCTCTTGAGTCAATATTATTTCCTTTTCCAACGAAAGACATTGTGATTTCCTCTTATTAAAATTATTATTTCGGTTAAAGCATGAATGCTATTGCTCCATTTTAAATTCGGGCTAGTACAGAACTAATTCCCATGTATTCATTTGATTTATTCAAATCACCAGGTACATTTTCAATGAGTTATCATTTTGATGTATGATGTACTATATTTTGTATTTTTGCTTTATTAATTTGTAATGCAACTATTATTATTTTAATTTTATAATAAAATTATGTATGATAAACTGTTGTGTATATAAAATATACATTAAAAAAGATGAATATGATTTTACCAGAAAAGTATTTGTCTTTGTTCGTTATTGTTTGTTAATTTACTTCTAGAAATTGGTTAGGAGTAGGTGGGCGTAGTATATTAGAATGTGGATCTCTTACGGAATTGTAATAACTAAACATTAATCACACTCAAATCAAAATCCTCAGCTTTGAGGTGTCTTAAACTACAAAAACTGTGCCACATGAAAAATACCTGAGTTCAGACGATTACAGCACCTTTTATAGGCCTACAGTTGAAATAACTTCCAAAATCAACTACCTACACATTTGAATCATATCTGCATATGACTATATTTTCACCACTTGCTTTAAAGGTGTAACTAGCAATGACCAGATCTTTATGGGAAAAGAGCTTACTTATGAGAGTGCAATATGATAATTCGAAAACTGCATAGGACAGACCAAATCGATATACTCCATCGTATTTTTAGAATTAGTACGTTTATACGGTTTTGTGAATAGGTTAGTAAGTGAGCTGATGCTGGAAACACACGAATATATTCTGCTAAAGTTTAAATAAAAAGCTGAAAACTCCAAGTAGAGCAAATGTCTTGTTATACTTATTAACGATGACCACTGGAGGGTGGGACTTATTTCTTTAAAAGTTTTTGTATAAGTAAACCAATTTAACCTATAAGTATGCAATTCATTTTTTTATGATGATTCTTTATTCTACGAAAGTCATATAAAATACACTAAATATAAATGTTATAAGATAAGCTATCTTATGTTGCTGGTGGTAAGACAAACATCAAAAGCTGGTAGCGCTCCAGTGATCTGCAGGAATCGCAAGAGTGTGTGGCTGTAGGTCTTTCTAAGAGGAGGAGATTCCGATCCTTCCTTAGGGTTTCTAGCCACCTCATCTGGAGACTCCAACTCCCTAACATAATCCATAAAGCTGTCCACATTGATGGGTATTTCTGCTTTTGGCTTCGAGGGTTCCGCTTGCAACTTCCGCTGGAACTCGCTTCTGTAGTAGTCATTGATCATGGACATCATGCCCTTGGAATACCAGTAGATGATGCCAATCAAGAAAAGGCCCTGCATAAAGGGTCCACCATTTTGTAACCTCTGATTTAACTGGATTTACTTATTTGTTTGAAAGATTCTAAGGCTTTACTGCTGATGCTCTTCGCGGAAACTTTCTAGCCACTGATTGACCATGTAGAATTGCTCCTTAATATGCGGCCAGGCCATGGTGACAATTAACATAATTGTATTTGCGAAGACGAATAGTTTCATCATCTCAAATGCTAAATGGAAAGTGAAATTTGATAGACATTAAAGAAATAATATGTAAAGAAGATCAAATTACAGACCCTCCGGTGTGCGAAGATAGTCGCCGAAACCGGAGTTCAAGTCCTTGTCCTCCTCCTTCTGCTCATGCTGATCCTTTGGCTCTCGGGTCTTGGCCTTGCCGCCGCCTTCGGCTTTATCCTTGCCGGAATGTCCTTGGCCGTGGGAGTGTCCCTTGCCGTGTCCGCCGTGCTTGTTCCTGCCGTATCCAGTGGATGAGTTGGCGAAGGCCGATTTCTTCGGTTTCATGGCATCCAGGATAGCAGCAGTTGGTCAGCCGGTCCTCCACTGGACTTTTTTGGAGGTGGTTTTTTTGGTCTTTTCTCTGCTCTCGGATGGTCCTTCCTCGCCAACTGCTGCTCCGCGAATGACACACTCATTTGTGGAGGGCCCATTGTAGTGGCGCCGCTTCTGGCAATTTTATGGTTTCTATTTTATTGATTTGCGATTTCTGCTTGTCGCTTTGGATGGGTGGGAACAGTGGAATATTGGGGGCGGGACAGGTGACCAAATAGAAATATGTTGTTAGTAGAGCAATGCGCTCGGATATTTAGCCAGGCATGTGTGCTTATTATACGTATTACACAAATGTGTGTCAGCTTGGTGGATGATTGTGTTCGCTGGGTGAGTCGGTTTTGTGGGTTGAACATTGGTCCCAAATGGTTAGGGTTCCTGTAAAAATAATGGGACTGGTAGAGGATTTATTTAAAAAGCATTTAATTGAAACTGTTTTTTATTAGGTTTTTTCATTGTTGTGTATTGTGGCCTATGATTTATACTGTAGATTAGGCTATATTTAACAAAACTTTTTAAAAAAATTAAGCAAACTTAGGATTTTACTTCAAAGAAAATTTAAAAAAATGTGTTTCTTATAAGCCTGATCCTTAAAATTGAGTGAGTTAAAGTTATTTTAGCAAGTTGTTGGAATTAATATAATCTTTTAATATTAAAACACATGTTTTTCTCTTCTAATTTAGTATTGTGAATGTTAGTGTTAGTCTAAAAAATAAAGTAGAGTAAAGTAATTGTAGTAAGTTGACGTATATCATAAGATACTTAACTTTTGATTTATTCCCAAAAGTATGCAGCTCAATATAATGTTTAATTCGCGACTAGGCAATGTTTAACAAGCTAAATTCGAATACTGATTGCGAATACTTGACAGACACTAAAACTAACTAAGCTAAATGACCACCCTACGTATACTTTATTACGTATACGCAATGAGGTGCTGCTTCTTATTCACTGTAGTTTCTCCAGTTCCTGATCCCCCACGGGAGTGGCTAGGCAACAGGTGCACAGGCCACCAGGATGACCAGGAGGCAGAAGGCGGACAGCGAGAGGGCGGGGCTCACCTGCCGTAGCAGCGTGAGAAAGGAGGCGGAAAGCTGCCACACCCTCGCCCAGGTGACGGCGGAGAAGAAGAGGCAACTGCGCTGCTCCTGGGGCACCAGCTCACCCAGGCAGGCCAGGATCATGGACTGGGCACAGGCCACCGCAGCCTGGGGCAGCGAGGCCATCAGCAGTCCCAGCGTCAGCCCATACACCTCGGGCATATTCTCCTCGGCTAGGAACCAGCAGATGCTACTGATGCTGCCCACCACCATGGCGAATCCTCCGGCCCACTGCCACTTGTGTTCCCTCTGGTTAAAGGTGAGATGGAGGGCCAGGAAGCAGCCCAGCATCTCGGCCAGACCCATGGCCAGCGTGTTGGACACCAGGTGCTCCCTCCCGAAAGATCGCACATGTAGCAGCAGTCCGGTGTTGACCACCATGAAGGTGGCCAGTGCCATGTGCACGGCTACCAAGTGGAAAGTGCTCCTCCTCTGTCCCATCCACAATTGCATCCAATAAACCGCTGGCTTCGGCTCCAGCAGCTTCTCCCTCAGCTGCCCAACTGCAGGGGCAGCTCCTTGGACACCCTGTGGATGCTTCCATTGGTGCGAGCTGCCTCCAGCAGGATGCCTACGGTTCGTTCGATGGCCAGTTGGGTTTCCTTATGTGCAGCAGCTGCCAGCGCGGTGAATCCGGGGTCCAGGGCAGCAGGAAGACAATGATCAGCAGAGAGAGGGTCACGCCCAGGTATATGTGCTGCCAGCTGGGAGCTCCAGAAGCCAATCCTGGCAGCAGGATCAGGCCCAGTGCCCAGAAGCAGTCGTAGAGTAGGAGGGCTCCCAATCGATATCTACCCGCTGTAATATCACTAACTGAAAAGGTTAACGAAAGTTATTAAAGAAAAGATATTAAATAATATTTACTTACATATAGCATGCCCCGAGGTGATCATAAAGCAGCAGGAAACGGCCGCCAGGCAGCGAAGTCCACAATGCAGACTAAATCCTTGACCAGACCCATTAGCAGGCTGCACATGAGCAGGCACCAGATGCCCGATCCGTAAATCTGCCGGGGACTTAAACCCTCATCAACTTGGTGGCCGCCACTCCGCCGATGAGCAGGCCAAAGAGATGCCAGTACTGGGACCAGGCCACAAGAAGTCGCACAGGCAGACCAGGTCGAACTCCATGGTCAGGGAGTGGAAGCCCGTGGTGTAGAGGAACTTCCGGCACTGACGCATGGCGTAGCCGGAGTCGCCATAGTTGACCATCACATAGCAGTGGTCCAGGGAGACGGTGCAGTTGTCCACCGGTCCAAACGAAGTCGTATCGCATTTGTACTCCTCCTCGGGATAGAGATCGGGGCTGTGAACAGGATGCAGGCCATGAACCAGGCGGCGGGGATCTTGCAGAGGAACAGGATGAGCAGGGAGCGCAGTTGCCAGGGGCCAAAGTCACCCAGTATATGGGTGATCACATCATCATCTTTATTATCATAGGATTGTTTGTTTTTGAGGCAGGAACTTATTGGCCTTGGGATCCGTGCAGGTGAAGATGTGCGAGAGGTGGCCCAAATCCAGGGCGTGGGGTGAGCCGGCGGCTCAAGCCTTTAGATTATTCTCCTCCTTCATCCTTATTCAACTGCGAATTTAGTAACCACGTCTTGGGAGCACCAACCCTCCAGCATGACTGCGACTTCGCTTAGCACCTCACCTGGCCAGGTAAACTCGAGGGCTTGCTTTGCGGTGCCTGCCTACGACATCGTCGCTAATCAAATCATTCCAAATAAGCGGAGCAAAGTTCCTAACTGAATGTGCAAATATCGGTCGACGACGACGAGATGCGATCTATTTTTGCTGTTGATCCGTACGGAGTTTCGAGGGAAGATGATGATGATGTTCCGGGAGGCAGGCACTTGAGTGATTGAAGCTAATCGATTGGCCAGGTAAACAACATCGGAATGCGTATTTTTTGGAAAGCTACTAATCTGCGGTGTCATTTAAGGTGGGGAAATTCCTTGATCGTAATAAATGTGATAACTATATATTATAAAACGGGTACCTTATTATTTTTCAGTTTCAAGTGTAATGAATATATAAATTTGGTGGAAGTCCTTGATTTAAACAAATAATTGTTGTTTTAAAGACGATTTATGTCTCTGTAAGCTTTGTGATTTAATATATTATATTATATTTAACCATAGAATAAATTTTTAAGTTTGAACCTAGGTTTCTTAAATTATTATGATATTATAAAATGATTACTTTAATTATTTTTTTAACATCTTAAACATATTTATTTTCCAAAAGCTCCTAACATTTAAAGGTCAATTCCACCAGACTGAGTTGGCCTTTATGATTTCTTGAATGAACTCGAATCATCATGATCATGAACCAAAGACCCAGCCACATCCACATCTAATATGATGTAATATATTTGGGCTCGAATGTTACGTCTGAGTTGCTACTTTCGTTGGTCAATTGCATTTTCCACTTCATTTTCATGGAAAACTTGTTTCGCGAGGACCAAGGCATTTTTTTGCAAAGCCAGTTGTTTGTGGAAAGTGAACAGCACCGGATCAGTAGCAATTGTGGCTTCAAAGTGGCCACATCATGGAAAACTCCGAAGTGGAAATTGTGGAGCATCAGGCGGATATTTACCAAGATGCTGTGGTTTTCATAACTGGTAATATTGGGATGTTCTCTAAAAAACCTTACTAAAGAGAACTCTGGTAAATAGGAGCCACTGGATTCGTGGGCAAAACGCTTCTGGAGAAGCTGCTCTGGAGTTTTCCCCAGATCAAACGCATCTACATGCTGATCCGACCCAAGAATGGGGTCACAGTGGCGGAACGGTTCCGGGGTTCCTCCAGAACCCATCTTTGAGCGCCTGAGAGCCCAGCATCCGATAGGCTGAAGAAAATCTTTACTTCTCTGGCAACATTGAGGATGACAACTTTGGTATAGTGTCTTATTTAGAGAAACTTCAGTGAACACATGTCTTGACCAGAGTTTCCACCAACAGGTTTAAATGAGTGCGACAGAGCTGTTTTGTGTGCCGAGGTGAACATTATTTTCCACAGTGCAGCAACGGTTAGTTGAGTGGGAAATCCCCAAAGGTTTTTCTAGTGTTGTTTTAAATTGCAGGTACGTTTAACGAGTGCTTGAAAGTGTCAGCCCGTGTCAATTCCCAGGCCACCTATAATCTTCTAGAGCTTTGCAGGGAATGACTCAATTAAGGGTAAGTTTATTCCTTTTTGGTTTAATTTATTTTAAAACACCTATTTTTTATAGAGCTTTCTGTACGTTTCGACGGCATACTGCAATCCTGGTAGGAAGTATGTGATGAGCAGGTGTACCCCACCATGCCGCCGGTGATTGGCGTCAGTTCCTTGCTGCCACCCAGAAAATTCCCGAGACTACTTGAATCGCCTGGCCGACTATATAAAGGGTCCGCATGTCAACACGTATACCTTTACCAAATCCATTGCCGAGCAGATTGTCAATGCCTATAAGGATGTGATTCCCATAGTGATTGTAAGGCCTTCGATAGTGACAGCTGCTTATAAGGAACCCTATCCTGGTTGGATTGATAATATCCAGGCTATCAGCGGGATAATGATGGAATGGCAAGGGCGGTATCAGCAGCATTCTGGGAGACAAGGATCTTATTTGCGACATCATCCCAGTGGACTTTGTGGTCAATGCCATGATCATGATGTCGGCAAGGCGAAGTTGGGCAGGTTAGTTGATTTATGGTTTATTTTAAATTCAGTTTATTACAATATTTTGATATTTAGCTTGAGCATTTGTAACGCCACCTCTGGAGTCACCAATCCCATCACTTGGCAGCGCCTGGGGGAGTTGACCATGAAGTGGTCTAGAATCTATCCCACAAGACGATGATTATGTTCCCGAATTTCAAGTATAGATGCAGTGCCCTCAAGCACGAGTTGGCCGTCTGGATTCTCCATTTTGTTCCCGCCTTGCTTATGGATCTGCAAACCTTCTGTTGGCCCAAAAAAGCGCCTAGTCACTCCCATTGCCAAGAAGTTCCGGCATGCTTGTCTAGCAGGTAAGGATACGTTAGAAAAAATATATCTAAATGGACATACTTACAGGTAGCTTTTTCTCGCTGAACGAATGGATCTTCAAAAACAGCAGCCGGTTCTATTTTAAGGAATGATTGACAATGGCACGTATCCCACGCTTATTGGAATCTGGAGGAGCTGGACTACGATGATTATGTCCGGCGTCACATGATTGGGATCAACAAATATCTGCACCGCGAAAAGTTCACCGTGACTCCAACAAGTCATGGTACCAGGTGAGTGCTCTCAATTTTTCCGCTTTCCATATCTGAATCAAGTGAATATAAAATGACTTCAAAATTACTACTATTATGTTGAGAATACCCAAGGAATAAATCTGTAAATTCAAGTTAATTCATTGAATTCTAACAGTCCATAAATTTAAATTCACATTATTTATCTTGCAGGGTTTACTGGTTCTGGATTTTTCTGCACCTGCTCTTTTACATTATGCTGGTTTATATAATGTTTTAGTCAAATACGTTACGTTTATTCCGCGATAGGCAGGTGAAGACTAGATTATAATTAATAATGTAATAAAAATAGATTGTTGATAAGAGAATCTTTCTTACCATTTTTGGAGCATTGTCTCGGCGAAATGCTGATACCGCACCCATTGTAAGGATTGTACCCGAAATTGGTCGATACAAGGTGTCCACGGGTCGTGGTCGAAGTGGCATTGCTGATACCCAATCCATATTCCGATTATGAGTGTAAGCTTATGTATTATAATGAATCTCTTACCCGTCACTTGAAACCAAATCGTCCATTTCCCGGTATCCAAAGACTGAATAGACTCCTTGGCGGCGTCTCATTCTCCAAATCGTTCCCTAACACGTGCGCTTGCCGATTCCTGCAAAAACGAAATATCCTTGATACACCCTCTTCGCGGGAATCGGCGAGCGCACCTGCGAGGGAAACGATTTGTACAACGAGATGTCAAGGCGAATAAACGGAAAATTTGGCACAGGGTTTAAAATTGTTCACTATTTGGTACCTTCTTAGCTGGACGTGTGAATAATACTGAAATACAAATTCATTTGTAGATGAAGGCCACACACAATCAGTTCAGAGCCTACTGAGCACATACCGTAAATTATAATTTGAATAATCAAAATTCTGTCGCAGGCACTCTTTGGATTAACTTTTCAGTTCGGGACCTTCTCAGTTAGATGTATGAAAAACTGAAAAACCGATTTACTTTTAGATGAAAGCTGTCACAAAAAATTCAGAGCCTACTAAGCACGTACCGTAAATAAGCGAATAAACGAAAATTTTGTCGCAGTAATTCTATGTTAAAAAAATGTTCACTGTTTGGGACCTCCTCAGTTGAGTGTATGAATAAAACTGAAATATGAATTTAGTTTTAGACGAAAGTTGTTGTCACAATCAATTCAAAGCCTACTGGCACTTACCGTAAATAAATTATTTGAATAAACGAAAATTGTCGCAGGAATTTAAAAGTTTAAATGCTTCACTTTATGGGACCTTCCCAGTTGGATGTTTGATTAAAACTGAAATATAATTTTGGTTTCACTCGAATGCCGTTGCCACAAATTTTGAGCCTACTAAGAAAAACCGTAAATAATAGTTATTTGAGTTAGAGAAAATTATGTCGCATCGATTTTAGGATTATAAATTGTTCACTGTTAGGGGACCTTCTCGGTTGGAAGTCCGAATAAAAATGAAATATAATGTTGGTTTACTTGTAAGCTGTTGTCACCATCAAATCAGAGCCTACTTAGCAGGAATAGTTGTGATTTTTATTTTCAAAGGCCTACTATAATTTTAAATTCTAGAACAGTCCAGTTGATTAAAAAAAATACTAAAATAGCTCTTACTTACGGTCTAGTATGTTTTGCCTTATCTGTCATATCTGTCAGTTCATCTGACATCTGGCAATACAACCTTTTCCTTTTCTTTTTGAGCTACAATATTTGTTGACCAGCATTCGTCAAAAACTATTAGTATTCGAGCATGCCTAACTTTGTACATGGAATGGAGGATCCTAACTCTAAGGAACAGGAAGAACAGGAACCCTCCCCTGAACAGGATACTATAAGCCAGGTGGACATGATGCGCTTTCTTGGCTTGCAGTTCATTCGTAAGGATACCGAACCTCTGATGAACCCGGAAACTGGACAGAAAAGTCCTCTGATTGAGGACCTGGATAACCAGCACTCCTGCGAAACTATCAAGTTCCAGGTTCCAGACCCACCGAGCATTCAACCTCTTAAGTCTCGTTTGGAACGCAGACCCATTCAGAACCCGACAATAGCTTACCAGCCGGATGTGATAACTCTACATTCATTTAATTATGTTTCTTAATGAATAAAATAGTTCATATGCTTCGCCTTAAGCAGAAACTAAAATATAAGCAACTAAAAATAAGCATAAAAATAGCAAAAGTAAGTTAAATAGGGCAAGTTAAATTTAGTAGAATGGAAGTATAGCAAAAACAACTTGTTATTTTCGTTGTGAGCTAGCTAAGGAAAATATTTTAAAAGCTTTTCCGTTGAGTAATGGGTGAAATGACAAGTTGTATAACATATTCCCTAGTTTTTCCCCCAAAGTAAATGACTAAGAGTTCAAAAAACATCCAATATCTGTAGTAAAACTGCAAGCATTTAAAATAACAATTCACTTAACCTAATCACAGAAGAATGTTGTTTCATTAGCTGATAATACAAAGACTATTAATTGGCAAAAAATGCGATCTCCGCCGCCTACAATCGAGTATTGTTCACATCGGATTCGACGGTCCAAACTGGGGAGTTCAGAGGGGATTGCTCCTTCTTGTCACTGGGTCCAATTGGGGCACAACGGGCAACACTCGTCCTGGGCGTGAGGAGCAGGCTGGTGCAGATTCCACCCAGAATGCTGAACACACAATACGAGGTTAATGACATGGCCGTGTCGATCTTCCTCAGGACATTGAAGAATGGGGCGACAGGAGCCACACCCTGCCCAGGTGACCACGGAGAAGACGAAGATTGCTTCTTGTTCGCCGGCATCAGTTCATTCATGCAGGCCAGGATCATCGACTGGGCACAGGAGACAGCCGCCTTGGGAATGGTGGCTATGATCATCCACAGACTGACTTTCAGATCGCATCCACTGGGAGAAAAATTATTTAAAATATAATCTATAGTAATAGTATAGATCTACATACTCGAGTCAGCATTGGTAAATATCCAGCCCATGCAGCCTAGGATTCCAGCTAATATATTAAAGACCCCGGCACATTGCCACTTCCACTTGTTGTGCTTGAGGGCAAAGTGGAGGGCCAGGAAGCAGCCAATGATTTCCGAAAATCCTACAAATAAAGGATGAGTTAGTCGAAGAGGTGAAAGTGAAATTAGACTATAAGTAAAGATTAGTATTAGCAAGAAAGATTATAGATCATAAAGATTCAACTCTAAATCGTTATATGACACTATACTATTAATTATGATCTTTTTTTTTTTATTACGAATTAGATAAATACTTTTTAAAGTATAGTATACACTTTTATAATCCTATTTGACAAGTTACTGTTAGTTATGATCTGATAGAGTTTTATTTGTAATATGTTCATCTATGAATATGTTATAAGGGCTATAATCTTATCCGTTTAGTAATCTGATGAAATTTATATGTATTTATTTAATTTATGTTTCAGATATATCTAGATTATTTTTTAAAGCAATCATGAATACAATATTGATCGAAAAAAAAGATCATTATACGAGGGGTTTCCAAACTAAACCTTATACCAACAAAATCTTTTCTTATATGTTTTCAATCATAAACTTACCCATGGCAATGGTATTGGGACCAGATAGTCCCTTCCAAATGATCTTATATTAAGTAGCATGCCCATGAAGTTGATGACGAAGAAGGCTAGTGCCAGGTGGGCGGCCACCATGTGCGTCTTGGCCCGCTTCCCCTTCCACAAATCCCGCCAAGGAGCTGGTGGTGGAGCAGCCTTCAGTCGCTCACTAAGTTGCTCCAGCTGCAGCCGGAAGTCCGGAGGGATCTTAAAGGTGCGATCATTAATCGCTGCTCCTTCCCGCACGATCTCCTCCACGTTGTCGATGGAGAAGCGATCCACGGCATGCCGGAGCAGCCAGCGAGGTGAATCCGGGGTCCAATACAGCAGCAATATCAGCATAATGGTGGGAAAGGTGATACCCACATAGATAGGGACCAGCTATTGAAGAAGGAGGAAAGTCCCGGCAGCAGGATGACCCCAATGGACCAGAAGGTATCGTACAAAATGATGGCACCTATGCGATGCATTCCCGCCGTGATGTCGGCAACTGAAAAGGTATATTAAATGGGTATTTAGGATAATATTCCCACTAATTATAGAGAAACTTACATATTGCTTGACCAGCTGTGAACATGATAGCACAGCAAACTGCGGAGAGGCAGCGGAAGGCGCAGTGGAGGCTGAAATCCCTGGCATATCCAGTACCACTCCACAAACAATCTGCGCCACTGCACCCACACAATAAGTGCTCCTTGGCTGATCCCCACATCATCTTGGTGCCCATAACGCCGCCTACGAGGACACCAAACAGATGCCAGTACTGCGTCCAGGCCACGAAGATGTCCCTCAGGCAGACCAGGTTGAACTGCATGATCAGGGAGTCGAAGCTGGAATCGTAGGTGAACTGCTCGCACTCGCTGCTGCTCCCAGTAGATTCATCCAGGACATAGCACTGGTTATCCGAGACACTGAAGCTCGGTTACTACTGCTGACCAGGTAGCTGGTATCGCATCTGAACTCCGAGATGGGATAGAGCTCCGGCCGGTGAAGATGATGCAGGCCATGAACCAGGCGCGGGGATTTTGCACAGGAAGATGATGAGGATGGTCTCAGCTGCCAGATGCCAAAGTCCCCACCAATCCGCGATGACATCGCTACCCGGAGGTGCTGGGGAGGAGGTGGTGAAGCCATCTCTTGTCCAGATCATTCTCCATCTCATTGGGCAGGATGTGGGGGGCAGTGGGTCTCCACCTCGGGCTGGCGACGGATTGACCATTGCTCCAGTGGCGCCTCTCTAGTGGAACATTCTGCGAATGATCAGGGAGTAAAAACGAGTCCATTCATTTATTTGTTTTTATTATTTCTTTTATTTCAATACCCCCGCTTATTTACCGACCCTTCCAATTGATATAAATTGAAAGCGGTTTACAGCTGAAATCAGTCGATCAAAGGCATTGAATATCACGCGGGATTCTTGAAATATCTGCGGTTTCTATTCATTTGATTGACTTTCGTTATTAGTAATAACATATTACATATGAGATTGCCATATATAATTATGGGGAAATATGTTAAGACCTACTTTAATATTTATAAAAACAGAATGCAGGAAACTTTTGCATCACTTATGATCTGACACGATTTTTCAAAAGCTTCTGGTTAGCATAAATCAATTTTTTTCCCCATCTGTAACCATTAATAAGTCTGTAATCTTTGTTAATTTCATTCATTAATAAATTAGCTAAGCTCTGGGATTTCTTTAATCTGTTTGAAGTTCTTGGTGCCATATTCCTCCACTGATAATATATCATATCGCAAATCACGACTGATTATTGTTTTATCGATAACCAAAAGGAGGTTGATTAAGGCAGATAATGGGTGTCTTCGTATAGCTGCTTTATCTGTTTGCTAGCCCTTATTTGTCGAGGGCAAATATGGCAAAAGATTTGCAATAAGATTAGGTTGTTAATTCGCGACAGATTCGCCTGTTCATCTTGTTGAATTATCTATATTGACACACTCCTTATGCCTCAATTCCACAGGTGCTAATTCGCTATTGTCTGGGTTACAAGTGGTACCACCTGCAGTCTGTCTATTTATTGGTAACGCAAATATTTTAATTCCTAATTTTCCAGGCAGTGCTAATTGCAGAAAACTGGTCGGCCGGTGCTGAATATTTGAATTTCCTATTCAGTATCTGTAATACATCTAGGCAATGACAGGGGCGGTAGGTCGTATTATTGGCTGAACGACTTGTTTGAACCCAAATGCAAATTTATAATTGCTTATGGGGCTGAAAAGTGAGCCACTCGTGTCAAGTTAATGGATTGCTCGACTTTTTGACAAGAGTGTTATTAATGCAGTGTCTACGTTTTATTCAATGAATGTTGAAGGCACCTTCATAAGGTAATTAATAAATGTTTCAAGGAAATCTATTTGCATGATAAATATTTTTTTTAATTATTAAAAAATCAACTGACCTTAGATCAGTTAAATATCACTTCTTATAATATTTTCACGATCACTGCTTGTGGTTTCTAGGCAAACATCCAAATATTTCCGTTGATTATTCTTTATTCACAATACCATTTATTTTTCCGATATCACTTTGTTATTTTTCATTTATGGCATACAAACTAATATAAATTAATTAAGCGGCAATAAAAATTATGCACGCAGTTCGGGTTTCGTAAAAGGCAGCTTTCCAATTCGCACGTCCAGCCCCGATTTTCTTCTTGGAGCACTCGCGTCTCAATCGGCCGAGAATCAAATGGCAACTGAATCCAATGTCGCATGGGACTATAGACAGGGAGTGAGCCGACTGGCTGTCCACTCGGAGACTCGAAGCGTTAATTTACTTAATGAATTTGCTCAAATGATAAAAACTTATTGGTCGGCTGATTTTTTGGGAATTTTTTTCTAAAAGTTTCAGCGATATTTTATAAGTTATAACTAATTTGAAGCAGTCGAGACAAAAATATGTAAGTAAACCATTGAGTCGTTTTCCGTTTGTTTGCCCATTAAATATTTTATTTAATGGAATAGCTGACGGATCGATTGAGTGTCTTTCAATGCTCTTTATGTTATTAGTTTTTACCCCTATCAAGTGTGCATTATCTTGGCCGCTCAAAAGTGGGTGGAGGTTCTTTAGTAGGGGGTTTATAGCTTGGAAGCCATAACATTATTACTTTACGTTATCAGCCTTTGCCTTTCGGGCTTGTACAAATTCTTATTCGCCTTCCTCGCGGATTTCTATTTTAATCTTTATTGTCTCTGCCGCTTTTTTTAGTTCACACATCGATTGTGTTGCTCTTCATTGATGCATTGACCTACATTAATTTGGCTCTCTTTATTGCCAATACATAATCCTCTTAATCTATAACCCATAGTCCCACATTCACCAGGATGTTTAAACAGCGTCATCAATTGATTATCATAAATTTATAATTTAAATTGGTTTAATTTGGTATAATTTTTAACGCACCGCTCGCTAATTAAGACCATAATGCCAACTTCAAAAAAAAGATAATGTATAATTTAATTAGCGATATATGACGTTAAATGCTCTGATTTTGGTTTGATACCCTTAGGCAAGCCTTCAATTTTGTGGTGAAATTCATTAGTAGATGAAGACTTGTTTGAAATACTTTTAAAGGTGGGTGTGTTTTTACATAGATATTTTAGTTTTTTATTGGGATATGTTATGGAATTCTTAATATATATAAACACTTTACTATTAACAACAAATAGGAATATCTTGATTTTTTAATCACATAACAAAGCCTACTTTTGGGCTTCTGGAAAGCTTTTTAAATGGTTTCCGAGCTGTGCGACCTGCAAGCTTGCGGTCTGGGCTGCTCCAGCTCCATTTCGATCTCACTGGAGGATGGAAGTTGATGTGCCAAATGTCGGCTATACTGACTGCCATATTCCTCTCAAAGTTGCTCAACAGTTCGTTGCTATAGGCACTGCAATCTGAGCTGTCGGTGCTGCAGCGGCGCAAAATGATGGCCGACTGGCGACGATATGTTGGGAGTGGGCACCTGGCTCATCTGTGGCTGCTCCGTGTTCCAATAATAGCGATTGAGACGACGCAGGGCCAGTCCATAGATCCAACCAATAGTAGCCAAGATGGTGATTGGAACCAGGTGATGGATGACAGTGAGGCAGCTCAGCAGCGGGCAGAATACCAGGCACATGCGACTGAATGAGATCACGGATAGCAGGAGAGCACCCTTTCTCCTTGGACACAATTTCACTGGTGCAGTGGTCAAGACGGCTATAGAGGCGGAGTTGGCCACCTTTAAGACAAACCAGAAGACCAGTTCCAGTCCCACTCGTCTGGAGTTACGTTCTGAGAGGGAAAATAAACCTTTAGCCAGTTATTATTGATTTATTATAATACTTACCAGTTTCTGGTAAAAGCCATATGAGGTAAGTACTCAGACCCGCTATAATCATCAGATTTCCTGCCCACCGCCAATGACGACGTGTGTACAGGATCAGGTAAGACCCACAAAAACGCCCACCATCTCAGCAAAACCCAAGGCTGCTGTGTTCACATGCACTTGTTGGGCTCCTAAATTCCGGATCATCAGCAGAATGATGTTATATAGCACCATAGCACAACCCCAGATCCAGTGATGTACAATAGTTGGCTGCGTTTCGTCTCGCCATCCCAGATTTGGCAGTAACCAGGCTTCTTTTTGGCCATTGTCCAGTCATTGGCGTACACCGTGAGCTGAACATCGAGGGTAGTGGAACCTTCCTGTTGTTGTAGGTGGCCGATTCCAGAAGCTGGCGGAGAGCAGCCTCAATCCGCTGGTGTGCAGCAGCCAGCGAGGAGAATCCGCTATCCATCGATGCAGCCAAACCAGAACAATCAGGAGGAGGAGATGGCCACGTACAGGTAGCTCCAGTCGTCAAAGTATATGGAAATGGCAGGGAGGAGTACTAGACCCATGGACCAAAACAGCTCCGATAGAGTGATCACTATGATGCGAGCCTGTCCCGAGGTGATGTCGTTTACTAAGAGAAACATTTATATTAGTTATGTTCGTTCTTGGGTCTTTTGATATACTTTGCTTAAGAACTAAGTTCGACTATAAAATATTTTTTTTAATATTTAGTAAGCTAATAATTTAATACTCACATATAAACTGCCCGGAAGTATACATAAGGGCCAAAATATGGAAGTAAGGCAGCGAAAGTAGATGTGCAACTGGTAGGTGTCCACTAAACCGGTGAGGTTACCACAAAATATCTGTCCAATCATGCCGAGCAACATCAAACGTCGTGGACTAATGCTAAAGATAAAGAAATTATAATTATCACACTGGGTTAAATAAATACTTTAGTCAAATACAAACATTTTGAGAGCAGAGTAGGCCATTAGACCGCCAATCAGGGCGCCAAGAGCATGAAAAGATTGCGTCACCGCCACTAAAACGCGACGAGAGCAGATCAGATCGAACTGGATGATCAGGGATCTATAGTCCGTCATGTGCTCCACATGCTCGCAGGGAAGCGAAGATTGGGCATCCGGCTCTTCGATTCCGAGGCATTCCACTGCCGACCATGACTGCGGACGAATCCTCGGGCCAGGGAATCCGAATAGCATTGCACACATCCACATTGAACAGCCGATCCGTGCTCCTTGCATCCTGCCAAAGTGGATGGATCTGACTGACATGCTCCGCCCGCGATCGCTCACATTCCATTCAGCCGGATGGCAGACCAGCTCCCCCTTCCAGGGATAAGGAGCCGTATAGATAATAATGGCTGTGAACCAGGCACTGGGAATCTTGCAGAGGAATATCAGCAGTATGGTGCGCAACTGCCAGCGTCCAAAACTCCATTCACGTGCTCCACAACGTCCAGTTCTGGGGAGGACTTCCCCGATAGCTACCCGTCGACTGCGATTCCGGCATATCCAATCCGAAACTTACACCTTGGCGTACGTACGCGTACTGACTTTGCTAATTTCCTATCGATCCCATGGGCTTGGGCTTACGGGAGCGAAAACGATGTTTGCTCTTCCGTTTAGTTGTTCCCTCAAATTGGTGCAAATTAGTCGGAGATTTTCTGATTCGTCTGGGTGATGTCTTATTATTAGGTTTGTTTTCTGCGCTTTTATAACATCTATGACGTATGGGGTATTGGAATATGAGGAAGATCTATTTAGTACCCAATAAATATTTATTGTCTTTAAGATAAGACAAATAAATTTTCCACTATTACGTGGGACTATTAAAAAGGTCCTAATTGAAGTGATGACAATGATTTGTTTATTTTAAGTATAAACAAAGCTCAGCTTCAGCAATTTTATCTATTTTGGGACCGGTAGGAAGTGGAATATTTCTTTCAGTTTATAAAGACTGGCATTTCATTTTAAATAGAAAGATGATAAAGACACACATTAAATAATCATAAGAAAACAATATGAAAAATCAAAACAGTTAAAATTTGTAGTAGCCCTAAAAACACACTACCAAATTTTTGATTTACCAGTATGTCTAAAACAATGCAATGGTATTTTATTATGTTTAATATTTCAACACTCCCAAAACTATACTTGGGTATATTTTATTTTAAGTGATCCTGAAAAGTAAGTATTTTCCTTCATTCACCGAAAGCAACTCCTTTTTTCCACTCACCAAATATTGATGACAAAGCAATAAATAAAGAACGCCTTTGTATACTCAATAATCCATTTGTTTTATTCAATTTTACCTGCTTTTATTTGTTGTGTTTGCATTTTCTTTGTGTGTTCACTACAAAATGGTTTTTGCTTTTCTCTCAAAATCATGAAAATGCAAATAAAATTGTTTTTGTGAACCTGCTTGAAATTTGCAATTCCATATTTCCATTTATGGTTGCTATATAAAATGGCACACGCCCCATAGATTATTATGCAATTAATTAATATTTGAAATATTTTACATTACTTTTGTCATGGGCAATGTGTTTATGCTCTTTGATGATTTAGGCAATTGGCTTTGTGTGTATTTCGTTGGCTTTGTTGTTTGATCAAAGTTTGCAATTTCGCTCGCTATCGATATCCAATTAATTATTGTCTGAAATAATGATGTCTGCTAACAGTTCTACATATGTTCACTTTAACTGGCCAAAATAATAGAATAGACGAAACTAATTGCATACCTATGCTCTTACTTAAATTGATTGTGTTTAACTTTATTCTGTTGTATTTACAGTGAAGTCTAGGTAGTAAAATAAAATAAATGCGTTATTGGATCGAAAACATTTCCCAAGCACTATGCACTTAGACTAAGTGTGTGGATTTGGCTTTGCAGAGACTTGGCGTAACAATAAACGAAAATCTACAAATTACAAATTAATTAATTAATCTAATTTATGGCGGTGTGGGTTAGGTGCGCTGTGAAGATGAAATTTCAATTCGAGTGTGCTGCCACCTCACAATTTTTTGTTTTTATAAAATACACATATTTTGCAAAGTATTTACATTTTCTAAGGATTACCATGGTGCGACTTATCAGCAGGGAGTACAGCTACGGTCATGGATTTCATAGTTGTGCTTAGGATTAGGTTTAGAGATAATATGCGCTCTGAGATTTTGCTCATCATCTATTTTAGTTGTGTTACTTATGTATGAATGAAACAAGCCAAGTCCGCTAGATGTTTTTTGTCTGCTTAATTAACATTATGCTTAGACGCTAGTTTAAAGTCCTTCGGTTGATTTTTATGCTGATGCTTCTGCGTTTCGGTGACCTTAGTGACCGCCCCTCTCTTATTTGCCCTGCCCAGCTACATATTTATGAGTTGGTGTGTGTCCTACAGCTAGTTTCTAATCGGTAATATTTGGTTTCGAGTTCAATGATCCGTGCTGAGCCCATCCTCCACATTGCTGTCCCAGTTGAATTCCGTGACGCCCTGCTTGAAGTAGATGTTGCCCAGGTTGGCATAGCGCTGCTCAAAGTTTGTGTCCTTTGCCTTCAGATGTTCGAAACTGCAAGGAGAAAGGCAAATATTAACCAGGATGTTGCTAAATTGCTTGCGTAATTTCGATGTAGAGATAATTGTTTCATGAAGTTCAAAAGTTATAAGTGACATTTGATAAACATTTAGACAAAGCTGGAAAATTTCTATATATCAAATATTGACCAGGATGTTGCAAAACTGTTTGGGTTATTTCGCTATAGAGATATTGTTTAATAAAATCAAAAAGTTATAATAACTTTTGATAAACATTTAGACAAAGCTGGAAAATGTTCTGTATACCAAAACTGTCTTAAGACAAAAGGAAATCAACTTACTTCTAATATTTCTACATAATATACATATCATAATGAAATTTCTATAGCTCTAGGAAATAGTAATGCTAATTTTTCATGGAACGAGACCTTCTGTACTGGTAAACATTCTCGAAAAACATTATTCTTCTGCGTATTTTACTCAGGTAGGGCTGTACCTTAATCACCGCTTGTCTGAATGCATAATCTACTTTCTTCGGGGATTTACAGTGCCAACTTGTGCTGGCATTTCCTTCCCGTTTTCCCGTTTACCTTAACCATTTTCCCAACCTTTTGCATTGTCGTTCTGCCTACAAAAGCTGCTCAATTTACTTCTGCGCAATAGATTGTTTTCTTATGTGCAGCACCCCACCATAAAAAAAAGGAACCCTCAATTGTTGATGCAGCTGCCTGAGGTACTGTATATGGTATAAGGTATAAGGTGAGGGTACAGCTGTATAGCTGTATGCACAATGAGGAATAAATCCACGTCTTGGGCAAGTCTTCACTTACCTTGCCCGGGGCATTGTGAGCATTGCAGAAAATGTCAAAGGTCATAAGCGGCCATTATGCGGAACAAGACAAAAGGACGCTTGCCAGGGATTTTTAAGGGGAAGGAAAAGGAGGAGAGCGGAAAAACAAAAAAGGTGAAGGGAAAACCCCGTCAACAGGCTTAAGTCACAATTAATGAAGCGAACTTGCAGCTACCAGTGGTTGTTATTGTCGGTGGTGCATGGGTATTTCGCTTCGTTTTCGGTCTTCTACTAAAGAAGGTTAAACCACCCTTGAGGAGGAAGCGCAGGCGCATGCGCAGCTGTTCCGTTTCGCCTGAGGAATTGAGGAACTGAGGTACTAAGGAGGAGGTCTGTCCGTTCCCATCGAGTAACCAGGGAAATAAGACCGTGCCAAGGGCCACGTGTGCGTAATCAGCGTCGCAAGAATCCATCGGATTGCATGGATGGATTCACCCCTTCCTGGAGAAGGTTCAGCCTGAGAAAATGCCATCACAGTCGACGATCGAAATCAAAACGAGTTCCTCGGGGTTGCCAAGAAAAGCGTAAACAATTTCCTCATTGTTTGGGTACAGCCTTTGAAAAAGGTTTATATATACAAGAAATTACGACTTTGGGAAATAAAGTTTACTTTGAACAAAACTATGAAACTGTACACCTTGAGAACGAAATATAAAACTAGTTTGAAAATGAAAATTACTTTTATTTATGAAGGGTGTAAATAAATGCCTAACATAGTTGATACATAAAAATCATTTTCTTAGCCTTGTAGGGAGGGTTTATTAATATCAAATTTCTTCGAAGAACAGGAGGGAATTAAGACCAACATACAGAGAATTTTTCGACACCTTTGTAAACAGATTAATATAAACATATCAAACTTCATTGGATTTGATATTTAGATTTTTAATTTGAAGGATGTTTCAAAAGATATTTAAAAGAATAATTATTTGAAAAAGATTCGAGATGATAAACTTTTACACCTCTAATATATTATTTTCCCGAAATAAAACCAGAGATTAAAAACAACAAGATTTGGAATTTAGTCGTGGTTCGTTCGAAAGAGACTTCAAAAAAACCTCTGGCCTTGTTATGTTGTATGCAACGTGTATTGAATATATTTCAAATCAGAATCTTAGCTAAGGTATATAATTTATAATAGTACGATAAGGTAGTTGGTACAAAGAAATAGCCTAGATGTTGCGTGCCTTGAGCACCTGCTTCTGGGGCGGACTGGGCACGTTCTCCTTGCCGGCGAACAGGACGGTCTTCTTGGGCGTACTGGCAGCCGAACGGGGGGTTCGTGGGGTGCGGGGTGTGCGCGGACTGTGCGGCGTCGCCGCCTTGGGAGTTCGGGGGGCGGGACGCGGGGAGCACTTGCCGGCGGACAGGAGCTCGCTGATCTCGCTGGTGCTGTCCTGGCGCACACACTTCTCCGAGGAGTTGAGCAGCCACGAGGTGATCTTGTCGCAGTCGGAACGCAGCTCCGGATCGCACAGCAGATCCTCGATCTTCTCCAGATCGGTGGTGTTCGATCGGTTGGCCTTGCCAGGGGTGCCCAGCAGGGAGGCGGCCGGTTGCTTGGACTTGAGGGCAATGTTCTCCAGCTTCAGCTGCTCACACTCCTCGCGCACCTTCACCAGCATCTGCTCCTTGTTGTCCAGCTCCAACTGGGCGAACTGCAGCACGGTGGCGAACTCATCCAGGGCCTTCTTCATGTCCACCATGTAGGCCTCGCGCGTCTCGTCCTTGCGCCGCAGCTCGTGGTAGTGGGCCAGCTGGGCGTCGCCATCGATGCGCTCCTGGAACGAGTTTGCAATCTGATTGAATTTAGCCAATGTCTCCGCCTCGCCGGCGAGCAGTTCGTGGAGCAGGGACTCCTTCAACGATACCTCGCTCTGCAGCGTCTGGGAGGAGGATCTCAGGGAGCTGAGTGCCTCCTGGCTCTCGGTCAACTGCTGGCGCAGTTGCTCCGCATCCGCCTGTAGGGTCAGGTAGCTCTGCTCCAAGGCTCCTTTGGCCAGCTGCACAGATTCCAGTTCGGCGCGATATTGCTCCACATCGGCATCGGATTTCTTGAGACGCTCCATCAGGATGTTCACGGTGGCCCTAGTGTTGGTCAAAGTCAACTGGTAGTTGTACTTCTCGGTGATCGTCTTGGCCATGTCCTGCTTCAGCTGCACCAACTGCTGCTGCAGTGCATCACTCAACTGGATGTAGTAGTCGATGCCGTTGCGCAACTGCTCCTCGCACTTCTGCAGCTTCTCATCGCGCATGCGCAGCATATCATTGGTGGTCTCCAGCAGCACCATCACATCCTGCTTCTCCAGCTCGATCTTGATCAGCTCGTTCTCGGCCAGCTTCTGGCGCTTGTCCAGCTCGGCGCGCCAGTAGCTCTTCTCACGCTCCACGGCGCCCTCCAGATCGCTCTCCACCTGCTGCTGCACCTTGGCCACCGCCTGCTGCTGCTCCGTGTGCCTGGCCTGCTCCCGGCACAACTGCCGGATGGTGTCGCAGTGGGCATCGATCTCGCAGTTCTTGTCGAGGAGTTCATCTTGCAGGGAGCGGATGAGGGTGCACTTGTTGGCCAGGTCGTTCTTCAGTGTATTACGCTCCACCTTCAGGCACTCCAGCTCCGCCTGGCAACTCTTGGCCTCCTGGCCATAGGACAAGGCATCCTGCTCGATCTGCTGCTTCAGCTGGACCACATCGGCCAGCAGGGAGGCATTGGTCTTTTGGAGATTCTCCACCAACTCGATATTCTCCGCCGTCTTGGCCTGCTCCAGGCTGCAGTGCTCACGGGCCTGGGCCACGTCCGCCTGTAGGGCAGCCAGTTGGGCCTGCAGCTGCTGCTCCACCACCTGGCGTTCCTCGTTGGCCGCCTGCAGCAGCTCGTTGGCCAGACGCAGTGCCTCGCTTTCGGCAACGAGCGTCTCCACCTGGCTTTCATGCTCCTCGCGCTGCTGCTGCAACTGCTGCTCCATGGCAGCCAAACGCTCCAGGAGATCAGCGTGCTCCTGACCCAGCTGCTCGTTTAGGGTCTTGTACGACAGATTCTCACTGGTCAGAGCCTCGATCAACTGATCCGTCTTGGCGGTGGCCAGCTCGTGCTCCTCGCGCAACTTGGCCTCGGCCTCCTTCAGCTGCTCTACATGGCGACGCAGTACGTCTAGTTGGCTCAGCTGGCTCTCGATGAGCTCGTTTTTGTGCCTAATCTCGTACTGCAGTGCCTCCTTGCCCTTCAGCCGACTGGCGGACTTGGCCTCCTTCACGGGAGTGGTGGCTGCCGAATGAAGGGGAGTAGAAGCAGCCGTGGAGGCACCACTTGCGCTTCCGTTGGCCGCCGCATCCGTGTGACTGGGAGCCGGACGGAAACGCAGGCGCTGCGGCAACGAGGGAGTACGGAACAGGCGCAATCCCTTGGACTTCTTGTCCTCCTTGGGAATGGCAAACTCCTTGGCCTCCTTCGAGCTGGAGGCAAATCTCACTGCGTCTTTGAAGAACTTCTCGATCTGCTCCTTGCGTTCCGGCTGAACGGTGGGCGGAGCAGCGGCTGTCGCTGTCGTGGCTGTGGGCGTGGCACTGCCCGCCGATCCCGCCGAGCTGTTGGAGGCAGCTGGCGATCCACAGATGGCCACATCAACGTCATTGAAACGCTTCAACTTGGCCTTGGAGAAAGACATTTTCGAACTTGTGTTTTCTGGATTTTCCGTTTAACTTGGTTTCTTTGGATTTCGGTCTCAGTGTCTCATAAATAACGCTCGTTTAACTTTCGAAATAACAATAACTCAACGATCAAACATAAACACAACTTTAACTTTCGGTTTTGGTTTCTTTTCTTTTAAGGTAAACTGTTTAACAAATCGTCTGTAGTTCGTTTTATAATTTTTTTGTTCTGTACTTAGGGGTCTGTTCTGTTCTACACTAAACCCACTTTCCCGTTGCAACCCGTTTCGCTGTACCTACGCGTTCCGCTGTCAAAACCTAACTGAGCTCACCTTCTGTCCAAGATCGCTGAGGCAAACATCGGGCTCAGCTGGCCGAGTGAGAAGAAGCGGGATGGGTAGTTGGGTAGAGTGGGAAAGAGATAGGCCCAGGGGAAGAACGAAGAAAACAACCCTCGAGCAAGGGTCGCTGCAACGATCCTACGTTGTCTCACCTTTGTGCGGTATACCCTATATGTCAGGTTGGGTATTTCCCACAGACCTTAAACGCGAGTGAATTCTTTGTATTTGATTCACTGAGATTTTTAAAAACTATGAAAATGTTGACTTACACTTTTTAAGATTCACAGAACGGTTATACGTAACACATAACACTTTGAAAAATCCTTATTTATAAAGGAACGGAAAAGAATTCGTTAAAATCAAGAAATTATACTTAGCACCAATAAAAATAAGTTAAGTACGACCTAGCTCCACATTTTTTTAAACTCATTAAGTAAAATACTGTAAAGTTTTTGTCTTTAAATAAATTAGATATTCTATCACCATTATTAATGTACTTTCTTTGCTTGGAAAAATTTAGGAGGAAGTCGTATGAATCCATTCTTCACTCCAACCATAATTTTTAATGGTTTTTGAAATCATACAAAAACCTATTGATATATTTCACACTTTTTAATAAAAATATGTCTTTAAGGGTATTCAGACTTCGAGTTAACCGAAATACTATGTATTTCTTCCTGCTTTATTTGGTGTAGTTCGTGCCACAATTCTTTTTGTACCCCAGCCGTCTTATCTGTGTGTTTGTCAAGACGTCGGACGTCGGCCTGGTATAAGTGAAGAAAATGTTTTCATTTTAGCGCGCGCAAATGTTGCAATTGTAGTTCAAGACAGCACGAGGAGGGTTCGAAAAAATCGTGGTGGGGGTAGGTCCTTGGGCAGGGGTGGTGGAGATACATATGACGACAGGGTTTCGCATTCCCTGACGTTTGCTCATATATGGGAAATGTGGCGTAGCCGACGAGCAGAGACACACACGCATCTGTCTGGGCCTCTCCTTCCCCTTGAAGTCTACAAAGTAAATGCGATTGCTTTCGAGGATTGCTCGACTCCGAGTACAAGGATAGGAATAGGACTTGATGGCTGAATGGGCTGCTCTATCCGTTAGCTCCAACCCAGCTGGCAGCCAGCATAAGTTGTTAATTTGATACGAAATCCGATGCCCGCATAATTAAAAGGAAATGCGTCGGAAATGGGCGAGTTGCGCCTGCGCGATGGGTTGAATTGAATTGTGGCGCATTGAATTGCGTGGAAAATGGAAATGATTTTCCCTCTGATCACGCCAGGCAGTTGGGCAATCGGCCATCGCTAATCTGGCTAGAGACCCTCATGATATCCTGCTGATCCTGCGGTAGCTGCCTGTGTCTCCTGCTCTTTTTCCCCCGCTCTTTCCCTCCGGTGGGATTGTCACAACTGCTCAGCTGGTTGTTTCTTTGATGGCGAACAATAGCCGGAAGATTCTAACAACTGGGAGGTGATAATTCTAGGTTAAAGCAGGCAAGCATGAAATTCTGGGTGGGTCAACCACACACAGCTGTGCCGAAGATTTCTATCAAGAAACTATTGGGGGTATCCTATTCGCAGCAGAAATCTATAATCCTTCTTGCGGATATCAATAAAAGTTCAATAAAAGCTAGTGCATTCTAAAAAGTATTTTATACAGATCTGGATCCTTAAAAAAGTGTCATATTTTTTTTCCCTTTTTTTTTTTTGTTGAGATCAAAATGAAGATCAGTAAACTATTGGCGGTATCCTACCTAGCATAACATAAGCTTTTGATAGAACTGTACACAAAATAAATCAATAATAGATCAATAAAAGCTAATGCACTCTGAAAAGGTATTCATAAAGATCTGGATCTCTAAAAACTCTCATATTTTTAGATTGCCTGATAAATAATTTTAAAAACTATTTCAAAATTACTTTTTGTCCCAAATAAAATTTCTATAAAACCCCTTACATGTATCACTTTTCAAAATATTGAAATTTTAAACCAAAGACTCATCTTTAGTGGCTCTCCCACAACTCCACTCAAACAAAATGATAACAAAATGGAAAAGGGTTTTCACAATGAGCTGATCCTTTGATGTCTCGAAACCCAAAGTAATATAAATGATGTTAATGACAATTTCCCTGCGCTGAGACACCTTCAATATAACTTTCCCATGCCTGTCCATGCATAACCAGTGTTCATTGAACGCGCGTAAAAAGTAACGCGATCTAATGACGGTTCCATGGGATCCATTCTCCTTTCCTTCCGCACAATATCCCTTTGCCAGGCCCAATGTCAACACAACACAAAGTGACGGCGACAAAGGACTCGTCGACTGGCTTGGCCCCTGATGATCAAAGGGTTCTCGCACCCTCATGGGATACAAAGCGCTACAAAGAACGTGGACCTGAGTCATCGACCTTCGACCAGACGTCCCGATGATGACGATGATGATGCTATGCAAGGAAGGATCTAGAGAACCGGACCCACTAGACTCGAACGGGTTTACCCGACCAGATAAACTTGCTGTGAACTGTAACTAACAAGGGGCTCAAGAAAAACATAACTAAAGCCATGTTCTATCGGCACATAAGCCAATTAAGTTGAGTGTTATAAATATCAATACATAGGTGGCGATGAGGAAAATTCCTGTACTCACCGCTGAAAGAGCAAAGTCTTGGCAAAGGCATACAGCTCGATGTCCAGGCCGTTGAGCTTCTCGATGCGACGCTTCTGGTCGGGTCGAAGATTCTGGACAGCAGTCGCCGAGATGGTGGTATTGTGCTGCTCGAAGGGAATGGCGAAGCGCAGGTTAAAGGTCTCCTCAAATATGTACTGGGACATCTGCAAGGAAAAGGAATTAATATGGTAACCGAAGAATATATCCATTGAAAACCCTACCTTTTGATATTCAGTCAGTCCAAATAGGCCATGGCGGCCAGATTGCGCTTTGCGCTGGCCAGCATCACCCGATCCCGCTCATGGGCGGGCATCGAGGACTTATTATAGCAGCCGACCAGAGCAGATCCGCCAGCATGCGGGTCTGCCTGTTGGCTGCCAGATTGGACTCACAACCGGCGAACTGATCGAGATCCACATCCAGCCAATCCTTGCCCTTGTAGCAGGCGGGCAGCTCGGCGCGGTGGCCTGGCGACCCAGGCACCAGTGGCGCGATCCCTTCCAGGTGGCGCCCCTCCTCACATGCCGGTACTCGGACATGTAGCGGGCAATGGGCTGGCGCAGCAGCGAGATGTAGAAGTACCGCCGCTTGGCCGTCTCGCCCTCGTTCTTGTCCAGCTCCACGTCCACGCAGCTGGTCAGCTCCGTCCAGTCGGCATGGAGACCGCACTTCCAGCCCGTCGAGTAGCGGGAGAAGAGCCAGTTCTCATTGCGATGTGGCCGGAAGCAGTAGCAACGCTTTCGCTGCCGCTGGCACTCACAGGGGCGCTAGAAAATATAGTATTGGTTACCAAAGGTCCTTCAAAGTATTCCCTTACCAACTCACCTTCAGGTCGAGATCCCTCACCAGATGGCGGCCAAATGAGGTGCCGCCCGTCTTCTGATGTGCAGGAAGACCATCACGTCGTGGCCATCCATGTCGAACTGGAAATCATCGTTCAGCACATCCTCGTAGCTCAGCCCGGCATTGGCTATGATGTTCTGCGGGGCGGAGGACTTGGAGGCCATGGCCGTGATGCCGCCCACATTGTTGCCATTAATGCTGTTGGCCTGATGGAGTGGGAGCTCATTATAGGCGAGGATATCCGAGGATTGCAGTATCACGGCGCGTTTGGATAGGGCGCATACCTGTGGTAAAAGAGCGGAGTGAAACATTAAATATTACAAGCCATTGAAAGCAAGGGAATATCGACGCAGTGTATACCCATTAAATTAAGCCCTTAATATGCCCGGGTAAGTCCATTTTTATTCGATTTACTTCTGATCCCCAGAGTGCAAAAATGTTTCACGCCCTATCATCTTTAATTTTTTTGTAAACCGCCAAAGGCCTTAAAGTAAATTTATTGGCTGAAAAATGGTAAAAAAAGAAGGTGGAGTGAGGAGTGTTTACTTTCAGCATTAATTAAATGCACATCAGGATTAAATGCATATTTTTGGTTCGAACAGGTGGGCTCTCCAGCTACTCGCAACTTCATTTAACGCAGAGTGAAGGCTTGTGAATTTTCCCACTTTTCTTTTCATTTTTTTTCCTTTGTCGGTAGCACTTTATTTGCTCGACGGAATGTGCCTTTTATTTATGGCACGTACTCAAGGCTTATTAATATCGAAAAAGGGTTTATCCCCTTTTCATTGCACTCACAACAATTAAATTGGATGCGAGCTGTTTGAAGATATTTAATATATATTTGCCATAATATTTATGGCGACGGAAAGAATGTGTAACCACACACCATAGAAGGATGTTTAAGGATATTAAATATTTTGTGGCATATTTTGCGGCTGAAGATTGAGTAAGGGGAGGATTTTTAAGGGATGGTGAGGTCCTAGTTTCCAATCGGATGGAGTGTTTTTACTTATTGGAATATATGGTTGATTGTGCTATAAATATGAATACCAATTTGTGGATAGGTCAACTATAAACTGTTAAATCCAGTAAAGAAAATATGTAGAAACTCATGCAGATTTATTAAACTTTCGCCTTTTCCAACCACAGCTGTTATTACTTTCGTATCTGCATAAATACCAAAACATTTTAGACAGTCCACTACTATTTGCATCTAAAAACTTTATAATTAGAACAAGTTTTGCGCCAGCAGCCTCTCCTTGTTGTTATCATTATTTGTCAATTTTCTCGACGGCCAGGCCTCAATAAAAGATAAAACCAGACCTACGCTGTCCACAGCCCTGGGGACCCCACACACATATAGTTCTTGGCAATCAAACTAGACGAAAGTTTCTCGATTAAAATGAGCAACTTTTGTGAAATTCTCTTATCTGACAATTTCCGCTGCTTAGTAGCACCGAAATGAGCAAAACACGCAACAAGAAAATGGAAAAACAAGCGGGGAAAACTCAGCTCATTAAACAATTGGCAGGCGGGCGGAATCGGACATAAGGAATTAAGAGTTCCATGGGTTTGTTGTCATGGTTTCTGCTTATCTATAAGTCCTTTCTCCACAGAAAGTAGAGTGAAAGTGGGAGCATGAATGCGTGTAAGCTTGTTTCCATAAAAGTTCACCATTTAAATGGCCAGAAAACCGAAAGAGAGATGAAGAAAAAAGAGGTGTGTTGCCCTGGGGGGCGGAAAGTTTTGAATTTATTGTGGGCCACCACTGTGCGCCATTTCGATTATATGGGGCAGAGGAAAGGGACCAGGAAAGGGGTTCCCCAACCTTATCTGGAGCTATCGCCGGAGTCCTGTCCAAGGGCTCTTTACCGTAATCCCCTTTGTGGCTCTTGTTCGATCTGTTGTTTCTGATATATTGTTGTCCAGTTGTTTAGTGGCTTAAGTCGTTACCCACCACTTGAAGTGGGCTTTTAAAAATAAACATTTCTTATCCCAAAAAACACATTAAATTATTTAGTGGGAAAGAGCAAGGGCTTAATGACGACCAATAAATTAAAACATAATAAATTTATATGGAGCACGTAAATACGCACAAAATACACTTTGGTGTGGCAAAAAATGAGACGAAAATCTACCACTAATGGGTGATTTAATTTTATTTTCGGTGCTCCGGCGACGAAACTTAAATGGAATTCAACCAAAAAGCCCACAGCGGCCAGCAGAAAAATATAATAATAATAATAATAACAGTTTTGTGTCTGCCAACGTGTGAGCACTTTGCCTGGGCTTTAATTGCTTTTATGCCTTCCCATTAAAAGGCCCCCCAAAACCCGTGGTCAGTCTTGTGAAATAATATAATAATAACCATTTTGTGCTAAATTTGTTAGAAATTTATGCGCATTTGAACGGAAACACGTCGGAAGTATTAACATTTAATTCAGCTTAGCGGAAATGCAAAATGTTGTGTGCGCTTTTTTGGTCAATTCCATGAGGCAATCAAAATTGTGAGCCAATAGAAATTTTATAAAATATGCTAAATAATTGATGGGCACGGCATGGCAAAATATTCACTGAGTTTGGATTCAAAACAGAGTTAATATTGACAAAATAAATCGGAAATGCATTTTTGCAGCTATCCGAAAGGATGTCAATTTAAATAGCCTGGTAAATCCCTAGTTGAAAGATTACAATGTTCTGTTTGATGTGTAATTTTAAATGTTATTACAATAATACCTTAGTTTACAGATTTTCTATTTGATTCCCTGGGGACATTCCTGGTTTACATAATAACTTTAGAAGGCAGGCAACAATCACCCAAACAGGTTGACTTCATAAAATGTCCATTACTTTTGCCCTATTTATGAATGTTGGCAATCACTTTTCTACTGATTACATTCATAAAAGTCAACAAAGAAACCATTTAACTTCAGCTTGAACATACCGACAGGCGGCGGCAATAAAAACAAGCTCAAAAATAAAAATGCAGGGCCATAATTTCCATTCATAAAGTAAAGTGCAAGCAAACAAATGTCACATATCAAAAGTAAGAGCCACAGTGAAAAATAAAACGTAATAAGAACGAAAGTAACTGCGGCTAAATTAATATTTATGTGGTAGAGGAAGAAAAATCTGGAAGCACAGATTTAAGATTGTATGCTTTATGAACTGGCGGCAGCTTCAGCTCACAAAAACCAACCAAAACAGAGGAAAAATTTCCTTGAAATGGGGCCAGGACACCGACAGAGTCGTAAATCTGGAGCACCGCAAAAATCAACAATAAAACTTTCGCTGCTAAAAACATAGAATTCCCAAGATACAATTTCGTGTTGTTGTCATAAAATAAAAGAGAGAGCTGAAACCAAGTGGATGAAACAGCAATAGAAACAGACACAAAGTACAGGGCCATAAAAATCTCGTAGAATGTAAATTGACAAAGACAATAATACTGGATACCAAGGCCACAGCTATAAACTCGGAAGACACTACAATTTACTTTATAACTTATTTAGTGCAAAGCATTTTCAATTAATTTTAACCTAGTAAAAGCTTTGGAATATTTTAGATGCTTGCATAATTTGCTTACATTTAGAAGTTCATATTTAGAGCAAACACACTGTCAAAACACAAAAATACACTAAGTTTTTCACTTAACTTAAGCAACACAAAATTTGAAGAATTAGCTTGAAATCCACATATCAATTATGATTTAATTACTTGTCACCGATTATTAGTAATCCCCCTTTGTTTAATCCTTAAAAATAATCTATAAAATCGGAACATTCAGCTGACGCACTGGAATTTTGCACTCGTAGTTAGGAATACATTGATTACTGAGATCATCGCGTATGTATCCAAATTTGCAGCCACATCCTAAGTGGCATATTTTAAAGAAAATGCAGAGTGGTTCATCGACATAGGGATAGGAACATTTAGGCTGGGTACAGGGCATACAGGCGAGCTCCTCGTGTTCCCCACAAGCTGATGGAATGGAAATAGGGAAAAAAGAGTTTGTGAACTTGTTTAGGCTCCACTTTTTTCGCTCACCCACGACCCTTTAAGGGGGAACCTTCAGAGGAACCTCTAAAGGAACCTTTCATCAGCAGTAAAAGCTGCAAAAGCCTCAAAGTTATTTGTCGATCCAACATGTGCGCTCCTGGTTTGTTTTCAAAACAAAACTAAGGCCAAAGCGTTTATAGTCATTAGGCAAGGCGAATCGTTTGACTAAGACAATTAGCAACGGCTTTAAGGGTGGCTTAAAAGTTTCTGTAGGAAATCTATGGGTTTCTCTTAAAAATACTTGGGGAAATGAATATATTATTAAATATTATGAGTAAAAATACTCAATTCTTTTTTTTACTTTCTTATGCAAGTACCAATTAATTATAATAGAAACTAATAACAACAACGAATAATTGCTTATATTATTTCTTTTCTATAGAGATACTTATAAGTTTCTCTAAAAAATACATGGGTAGCGAATACTATATTAAGTATTCTGACATTCCCTTTCCTTTGCAATATCAGTTTATCATAATAAAACTAATAATAGCACTGAATAATTGCTTAAATATTTACTCTTGTATAGAGAAAATTATGGAAAAGGTATAAGAAGACGGAAAGTGAATATTATATTAGGAACCCTGACTAAAAGTACAATTTTCTGCTGTCATTCCCTTTCCCTTGCAAATACAAATTAATGGTAATAAAAAATAATAACGACACTGAATACCTAATTGGATATTTTTATAGCCAAAAACCGTAGACAGACACCATCTGACAGCAATTATTTTCATGTAAGTACGCGCAGAAACCACTTTCGGCTGCATTTAATGGTTTAGACCGTCATTGGTTAGCCTATAAATGCTGAGGGCATCCCCTTTGACGATGGCTGGCCATTCCGATGGTCAACAGGCACTCGGACATACAAATATCCGCAGACAGATATATAAAGTGTACTGCCAAAGGGCTATTCAAACTGTCATTCGGGGTAGCAGAGGTAAACAGAACACCTAAAGCCCTTTTGGGATGTAGATAAAGCTTCTCTATGAACTTTAGCGGCATTTGAAAAACGGAAAAGGTGAAAAAAAGTATTATCCAAACTGGCAAGCCGCACATACACAGGTGATAAATGGGGGTAGAGTTCTGCATTTGATTATCATTTAAACAAATATGCAGCAGAAATTGCGGTGGCGAGTGAAATTTACAATGAAAATTGTGTAGATTGCGCTCATGGCTGGGTTTATGAAGTTTTGGCATGCCAAATACCTGATTGTTTGTTCGAATATGTTTGGTTTTAGGCCAAGTCACGCTATTAGCGGGCAATGTAAATATTTTATGGCCTGCTTTTGAGCGCTGCTCATTTGCTCTTGCCAATTGCTTCCCTGGGGCACGTGTTTGATTTAGTTTCGTTGGGTCTGGGTCTGGGTGTCCAATGAACTCAGTAGCTATAGCTCATTGGTATACATTTAAATTAAAGGCTTAGATGTTTCAGCCATGAAAATGGTCTGTCAACGGCCTCGCCACTCAGTTACCAGCAATTCGGTTAAAAGCAGGCCTCGTCTATCTTTTGAAGAGCAAAAACCATTGACAATTTGCATAAATAAACCATTTTATATTTTTTGTTCATCCCACCAACTGACCCCTTTCCTTGCTTTTTATGTTCTTTTTTTTCGCCAAGGGTTTTTCTTCAGCTGAACGATTGAGAGGCAGCTAATATTTTTGCCCTTTTTTTGTGGGCCGCCATGGCGCTCAACAACATGTACACTGTGAGAAATAAATGGTTTCGGCAATACAAATTTTAAATATAAACATAAAATTTTTTTTTCTTTTATATATATATTTAATAAAAATATATAAATATTTTCATTACATACAAAAACATATTTGGAGGATTAATTTTAAAATAAATCAAGGTAAAACACTCAAATAAGATTTTAATCAAATTTATTTTTACTTCATTTAAAATATTTTGTTTTCAATATTAAAGTTTAACATCTTCAAACTAACTACTATTGTTAAACTTATTATTCACATATCCTCCATGAATTTCTTAAAGGCAATAAAATTATACCATGTAATTTAAAACCTAGACATAGTCTAAATGTAAAAATGTAAATTGTTGTATATAGCTGCATAGGTTATAGGTAATTTCTCGATTGCTTTTTAACCTGAGAATAAATATATAAATATAAAAATATTTAAATTTTTATTTTATAAGTTTTTTCTTTCAGTGCAGCTGCAGGAACAATAATAGCTGTGGAAGCTGCGGCAACAGCAGGACACAGATTGCGATGATGGGGCCACATGGAGCGAAAGAGCATTTTTAGTTTGGCCTTTCCCAGCAGACATGATGTGAGATGTGCTGGCGAAGGAAGGCTTGCTATAACTCTGAAGAAGCCATGGCGAATGAAATGAAATATGGACGGGCTTGGATTGGCCATCAAGCGAACAGATCCCTTTCAGTGGGTCTCACTTTTGGGAAGAGCTTGGGGCCCATAATCGCAGGGACTTAAAGATTTCCGGCTGGAAAAAGGGAAATAAATTGATTCTCTTCGAGAAGCAAGTACTCTCTTATCATGGCTTTCGTTTCCTTTCCCACCTTCTTGGCAAAGTCAAGTCTTCATCCCACTGTGACCACTTTTCAGGATTGAGAAGTTGTTGGCCTTCAAATGTTTGCCATTTCATTTATCAAAGTGTCGTTTTGTCTGGGGTCCTCGAACTTGCCATCTCTCAGACCTGTCACGTATAACTATTTCTGATTTTCGACATTATATCATTGACAGTTGCTTATGTTTTCAATCGCTTTTCTATTACATCTGCGGGCGAGACCTTCCAAAAGAAAAACCAACATGAATTATGGTTGGGTCATTTATTATTTGCCCTTTTTTAGTCCGTTTTGTTTTGCCTAAGAGACCGAAACGTTGAAAGCTAATCTATTTTAAGTGGCTGTAAAGCATTCAAGGATGTGGGGATGTGTATGAGGGCTCCTCTAATGAAATGTAGCATAATATTTTCATTTCGGCCCGAGCATGTGTGCGTATGTGTGATAAGCGTGTAAATCCCCAAAAATAGCCAAAGACAAGAACAAATCCCAAAAGCATATATAGTACATATATAACATATATATGTATGTGATGATGACGAGGAGATGGTGGCGACCAGTGACCATAAATCCGAGTAAAATGTATTTTGACATTTTGCACGCAAAGCGTGTGGCAGAAACTAACTAAGCGTGTGCGGAATTCACACAGTCCTACATGTTCCACACGCCCCCAAAACGAAAGGTCATTCGAATGATGATGGGAAAGGACATCAGGCTGGATGGCTGGCTGGCTGACTGGGATTTGCCATGAAGTGTTAACATGCGATAACAGCAACGGCAACGAATAAAACACAATGAAGCGCAACTGATGAGGATGCGGTGAACGGTCATTCGGATTGGGGGACCTTGATGGTGCCTAATGCGAAAGGAAAGACCCAAATCCCACCCGAACCCAGTCCCATAACCAATCCCAAATCCAATCTTAAACCAAAACTGAAACACAGACCGCAAACGAAATCAGTCTTGGACTCGGGGCTGCGAGCGAAGTAAATGAAGTGAAATGGCTTGAAACGGATGATAAGAACGAAATCAATGTCCTTGTTTTTGTATTTATACCTTTCCACCTTGGCATTGAGTTATGAATTTCCAATAAAAACTAGCGAAATGTAAATGCCACAATAAATAAAATGATATTTACAGGGGTTTGCAAAAAAACAGGCTAAGGATTTGGAAATAACATTTTTAAGGAGTCTAAAAGTATGCAACAATATATTTAAAGCTTTCCTTTTTTCACTGCATACTTTCAGACTCCTTTAAAAATATGTAATAACATTTTAAGACTCTTTAAAAGATATTTTTGGTGAACCAATGATAGGGAAAAATGATGCTAACAAAACAACCATACGTAAATATTATAATATCCTAGAAAATGGGTGTATAATGGGGGCTGCAGCACAAAACGCTAAGGGTTTGGAAATAACATTTTTAGGAGCCTAAAAGTATGCAACAATATATTTTAAGCTCAGAGAACGACTTTCCCTTATTCACTGCATACTTTTAGTAACATGTAATAACATTTTAAAACTCTTTTAATAGATATTTCTGTTAAGCCGATGATAAAAAAAATGATGGTAACAAAACAACCATACATAAACATCATATTACCCTAGAAGAGGTGCAAACTTCTCAACTTAAAATAAAGAACTTTATCTCCCCCCGACATGCTTCGTTTTTCGACTACAAAAAACATTTTAATTACCTTTTTTTTCCTGCAACATAAAACAGTGACTTTATTTCGCAAAAAAAAATGGGACGCAAAAGAAAAAACATGTTGAAGCTCCTAACCAGTAAACATTTTTTCACGCTCATAAACTCGGGGGAAAATTGTTTGGGCTTCCGTGGGCGTGGGTGGGTGTGTGACATAATGGAGGTGACTGGCTGGCAGGCTGGAAATGGAAAATGGGAAATGGGAAAAGCGAGGGCCAGGAGGAGCCGGCAGTATCCGTGGGTTCCTTGGCTCCTTGGCCGCACTGTCACGGTCATAAAAATGTGCAAAGTATTTTGTATGGCTCTACCTTCACCCACACACTGGCACAGCTAATAATAAGCGAGGGCATGGAAATGGTTTTAATGCATAGGGCAGCAAGAAAAAAAAGAAGAAAAATGCTCATGGAAACAATTTTCTTGTTAAGTGGACTTTTGGACTTTACATTTTACTTGCTGGCGCTGCTGTTCGTTACGGGGCAACAGTTTCACATTTGCTTTTATTGTACTCAAGTTGGCGCGTAAATTTAAATGAAAGACCATTTTTTTCGCCCCTACATTTACTGTCGGGCGGTTGGTTGCATGCTAAGCATTTCAGCGGACCTTGGCCATTTTTCATGTATAGTATTTCCGGTGATGCCGGGTCGGGATTTACATAAAGCTTTAAGCGGAAGTCCGCGGAATCATAGGTAATGCCCGGGCATCAAAGGTCTGGGGCTGACAGATAAGGTAAGCTGTCTGTCTGTGGTTTGTCAGTGGAATTTAAATATTAAATTGGAACAGGATAAATGAAAAGAATTCATTTAAGGCAAATAGGATCAACGAAACTGAACAAGCAAAAAAAGTAAAATTCTCCGCACGTAACATATAGCTTTGACATTCATGCGACCGCAACCTGTAATCAAATTGTGTTTCTCTTTTTTAATTGACTAATAATATTATTTAATTTTTTTCCCCGCTTTTCTGTCGTCAACATGATGTGCGAAAAAAGTGTTTTTCCAATGAAATTACTCATACGCCCGATGTACAGCATTTAATGCGGATATTTCAAATTGGAACATTTACTGCGCGTTCTGGTGCTGTCATCTTTTTTCCACAATTTTCTCATGACATTTGTTTTGGCAGAACATGAAAAATGGTCAAATGTTTTCCTATAATGCGATTTCCTTAACGTTTTCTTTTATGTGTTTCTGTTTATGTGTGAGTCGCTTGAAAAATGCTGATTGAAATGTCAAAAAAAAAGAAAGAAAAACATCGGATTTGTCCTTTTTTTTTCTTTTTCCATCAGCATTTTTTCCTTTTGTTTGTATGCTTTTATTTTATTCCTGTTTCTGGTCCGCTTTGTTTCGTGTTTTCAGCTGATTTGATTTGGCTTTCGGCCATTGTGCTGGCCAACTCGAATTTTGTTGGTAAACGTTCGCACTTTAATCAAAAAGGAAAAGAATGCCCTGGCTAATCTGCTAAGCGTTTTGTGCCCCTTGGGGATTTGTTTTCCCTTGTTGTTATTATTGCCGAGACTTCAGGCGAAGCACTTAACGTATTACCCATATGCCAAGGATGGTGTTTCCCCAGGATGACCCCTGCCGGGTCCTCATAACCGGACACCAAAATGTGACTTAATTGGGATTTTGTTTGTAATTGAAACTGAAAACTAAACTACACATTGTCTGGCCATCAGCTGCACACAGTGTCCAATTATAATTTAATTAAATTGGAAGCACTTTATATGCAACTATTTTCGGCAGTTTGCCGGCCCAACACATTCCATACCGTCTGGCATCTCAAAACTCCACGCCGGAGTCATGTCAGTGGTGGGTCTGGACTCCGGACTACGGACTCCGGACTCTGGACTACGGACTCCGGACTACGGTCTCCGGCACACATGCCGGGCACGTTTCCCCGCTTTTGAATATGTGTGCACTCGCTGCGAAATTCTCTCAGATCTCCGGGGTTGCTGCACTCGGAGAATACCGTATATATTGAACACAAGTTACTTTACCAGAAGTTCTCTTTAATACTAAAAATTCTATTTCTAAAAACCATCTTGGAAATTATGAACCTTTCAATATATAAGGACTTATTTAGATTATTTTGAAAACTTAAAACAAAATGTTATTGACATTCATTAATTTAAAAAACATTAGGTTCTGTTTTTTTGCAATATAAATTATAGATATTTCCCATATTGCATTGCTAACAATAGTAATTCAATTCAATCCTTTTATGGTAAGCACCTTAAAACTTAGTAAAATATAAGAATATCAAATAATTTTATAATATGTAAAGTAGTATCCAGGTACAAAGAATTAAATGTTATTTCTTTCGTTTTTTAAACATTTAAACATTTTAAATCTTGTTTGTTAATTCAAAAGAGGATTTGTTGTGTTTAGTAAGTTTTTAAATAATTTAGATTACATCAGTTTTTAATTGCAATATAAATACATTCCTTTATCAACATAGAAAGATCATATCTAAAAATATTTTATTTTAATTTCCAACAGCTCTACCATAACTTTGCAATTATATTGAAAAGGAGCTTGGCTAAAGAAATTATTATTTATAAAACTGCAATAAAGATCATTCCAAATTTCAGATGATCTTTTATTCTGCGTGCATATTGGCCTGCTAATTTATTTTTATTCTGCATCACATCTATCATATCTTTGAAATTATATTTTAGAAGCTTGGAGGTAAACAATTTATTTGTTATAGCATTGCAATTTAGATCATTCCGAATTCCAGATAATCCTTTATTCTGCGTGCATAGTTGCCTGTTGCCTGTGGTGGGGCGGCTCCAAAATGTGAAACAATATGCCACAACAATGAAGCGAGTCGTGCAGCAACTCGTGCAACGAGGCGTATGAGTGTTGACTGCCGCACGAGCAGGAGGATAAAATGTGGGTGGTTGGAGTTGAGCTGTTCGCTTGGCTTATTTTGCCATTGCATGCAAGGCCGCACCAAATCATGACGAATGACAGACAACAACCCATTGTCCCAGAAAGTAAACCATCTTCTTCTGACCCCCATTTAAAACTAAACCAAGAGCAACAATATATGCACCTTGAATGGAAAAGGAAAACTTTACTGGCCAAATAATAAACTGCAGAGGAAACACTAGTATCTCACTTGACTTTCTTTATGGACAGCGATACCTTTGGGGGCGTGACTGTTGGGCGAAAGATAAATATTCACATATTTGCTTGCACAAAAATTTGCAAAACGTGCCTGCCATTGTCTACGATTGCATTTGATGTTATTGTTGGGTCTCTTGTTGGTTTTGGCTCAATTGTTTGCCCATTCATACACCACACACAGATAAACTATACCCTATAGACGATGTCTTTTCCTGGCCATTATTTGACTTGCTCCCATTTTTCCCTTTGTTTGTTTACCCAATTCCGGACAAGAAAGTAGGAAGACATCACCCTTTTGTTGCTCATAATGTGTTTATTCGTAGTGTTTATATAATAAATTTTAACTTCTTGGCCGGCAAAAAGGGTAGACACAAAAAAGGGTGACTAAATGGGGATAATGCGCCTGAAAAATACCCTGTAAGTATGCGAAAAACACAGAGGAAAAACTTAAAATCACACTTGGTTGTTTTGCTGGCTTTAGTTTATCCTTCACTTTTGGCCAAAACATGCTGGCAGCCCGAAGGTAAGCTCTAATTCATTTTTATTTCGTTTTGGCTTGGCATTGCATGCAACTTTCGGTTTTTTTTTCGTAGCTGCCATTCCGACTTCACACTACCTTATCGCACACTCAACAGCAAAAACTCAAGCGATAACCTCGAGTGGCTCGTAAATAATAGCTGGTGGAAAGCACAAATAACTCCCATTCGCAATCAGTCAGCCCAACACCTACGACATGAACTCGGCTACAATAATAATTGCCATTATCCTGCTCCTGCCAGCCAGCCAGCAAAGGTAACCCTTTATCATATTCAACATATATAGATTCTCACCATAATAAATTTAATTACATTGCCTGAAGCTCGGATGGTTTGGAACGCAAGGTGCTGTCGTATAATCCCACCTATGAATTTTGGTTTTTCATGCCAACTGGCAGGCCCGACCATGTTTCTAAGAATGTGGAGGAGGCCTATTGGGCTGCCCGAACAAAAGGAGGTGTTTGCTATACAAACGTTTGGTTCTACTGCAAAACTGGCATCAAAATAGAGGAGTAAATTGCTTAAGAGGAGGAAAAATACCATGACATTGGGGATTTGTCACACTTAACGGACCTTGAAAAGCGCAAAAATTAATTAATCATCTGTGTAAAGAATACTTGCCTTAAAGTAACAGCAATCTTTATCAGGCATGTAAAATCTCAAGTTGTAAAAATGTACGTCAATGTGTTATCATGACTACCTAGAGAGGTATACCTAGTGCGTCAGAAAATAACAGCTTAATTTTCTTTGTATCAAGACACAATAACAATTACTTTTTAGTACAATTTTTAACTAAGATGATATTATAGCTTTTGTAAATAGAACATTAAGAAATGGTTGTAAAGATTGTTCAAAATATTATTGTCAAATAAATTAATCAGTATTTTAGTTTCTACATATAAAAGAATTATTTGACGTCAATGAGAAAAAATATTGCATCAAAACGTGTTGAAATGGCAAGTAGCTAAACGACAATTTATCTTTTCTAAATCGTAATCAATATATACTTATTACGATTCTGTTAGAAAGCTGATACCTAAACACAGAAAAGCGGTAGTTTTAGAAATTCTCATCTAACCTGTGGTTATAAATTGAACAATAATCCGAAATCTTTTGGTTAATTAATGTAATAATATTAATTTGTAATGGCAACAGAAACGTGTGTTAAGAATTTCATAACACATATTTTGCAAGATATATAAACGTAGTTTCGTTTTGCTAAGACCTACTATTTTTAACATCATAAAAAGCCTGAAGGGACAGTTTATTTTAGTTTATTATACAGTTTTTCTTGCTTCCAAAATGTAATTTTTACGCATTCTTATCTCAGTTTCCGCAATTTCACTCACTTTCTTTGCTTTTTTTATGTACAATCTGGAGTCGTGTTAAAGCATCCTGGAGAGGAAAATTGAAGTTGCAGTTGGAATGATTATTATTATGTTTACTTTGGCCAATGCTTGGACCAAAACACACAAAATCAGCAGAAGCAGACATTTTATTGCATCGCCGTGGGGCAGAAACTGAAATGTAGTCCTTCTGAAGCGAGGGAACAGTGATTCTGTATTTGTATATTTGCGAGTTTCCCAGGGAACAGTGTGCATTTGTTTTTTTAAGTCCTGATTTTTTGTTGCATCACGCAGAGGAAATGAAATATGAAATAATTTATGAATCAAGGCGATTGCTGGGGCCCAAGGAAGCCGCATCAAAGCAATAGCATTGTGCAGTCAAATTTATGATAAACAACCAGGCAAAACTACGAGTGTATATTATATGTTGCAGGAAGTCAGAAGTGGAAGCGAGTTTGATTGCTCATCCTTTTGGATTGTTTGGTTTTTCCACAGAGACGAGGACTGACTAGCGGAAACTTTTTGCAACAGTAGAATGAAGTGCGTGGAAAATGAGTCATTTGTTGTAGTTGCAGTTGCAGTTGCCTTTTGTACAAAGAGCCAAGTCAAAAGTGAAGACAAGTTTCCGACAATCCCCGAAATCCAGCCAAGAGTTGAGCCAAACAAAACAAAACTGAGAAGTCGGCGAGGAGTCTCAGAAATTTTGAGACTTGAGCATGCTGTTGCTTGTTATGTTTAAATGCATCACTTGTCTCAGTGGATATTAAGCGTGAGTTGTGCGGATTTGAAAGACTTATTCGGATCCCAAAAAGTATGCAACGTTTTCCGACATCACGCATACGCCCTGTCAGCCAAAACTATTTTGCTGCAACTTAATAATGATTTAATAACTATAATTAAACATACAAATTAAACCCTATTAAAAGCGAATTACTTTGGTTTGACTTTTTCAATACCTACATTAATAAACTGAGGCTGGGGCATCATCATCATTGGCAAAGTTTTCCCACAAAACTTGTCATTAAAACTGCGTGGAATTTTCCACAAACCTGTCGCAAAGTTTTTGCAGCCCACCAGAACAAGGGAAAAAATCGAAAAAAATTATAACTTATTTCAAACTAATCAAATTGTCATTCTGGTTTAAAAAAACTTTGGTCCCACAGGGAAAACTAACTGCCAACTAAATGTCTGCAAATCAAAACATATTTTATCAGCAAAAATCGAATATTTCTTGGGGCCATTCGTACTAAAACAAAGTGCCAAATAATCTCTGTTTTTACTTTCTTTTTGTTAGCACATATTGCAGGCAAATTGATATCGTTGCCATGTGCCGTACGGTTGAAATATTTTGCCGGCCAACGTTTTCAATTTATTTCGACAGCTTTTTTTTTTGGTGAACGAAATGACTTTCCGCATATTAAAACAGTTCGTTTTAATGTATTTTACCAGCAATCAATAGCTCTGCCTGTGTGGCCAAAGTGATTTTGTGTTTTTCATTTCAATTCTGACCACATATCATAGACCTTCATTTACCTAAGCTTCGTCGCAGACATTTGCTGATTGTATTTGATATTGGCTTTGCTTTAAATGCATGAGGAAGCTTGTGAGGAAGCAGTATTTTATGTCCGTTTTCTGTTTAGACAACTTGCCTCATAAATATTTATGAGTATTATGATGCAAAAATGCTGCAACATAATCAAAATGCTGAGCGGAGAAGGAAAAGCAAAACGAAGGTAGGGAAAAATACGAGGAAAAATACAACCAAGAAGCAAAGCTCAGTGCAATCAAATCAGTCGTGATGGGTTGGGAAAACCGCCGGGGGTCCATCCCTGCCATCCGCATCCACATCCGCGCCGGGAGTGTGAAAATTATCCACCGCCGACAATAAAAGACAGCCAGCATCCACTCCACAGCATCCGCAGCACCGAGTGCCATGTCATAAAAGCTTCCATGTCTCGCATTTCCTTCTTGGCGCAATCGAACAGGAGCAGTGAGCACAGGTAACCAGGAGCAGGATGAGGATGAGGAGCAGAATGAGGATGAGGAGCAGCATCAGGATGAGGACCAGGTTGGTGGTGGTTACCCACCTCCCAGCTGGTCATCTTCAATGTGACAAATATGCAAAATATACAAAAAAAAAAGAGAATGGCGATGAGCTGGGGGATTGCTTGTGCATTGATGCAGTGAAATTGGATTTTTGAATAACAATTTCTAGGAAATCAGTAAGTGAAATTCAAACCATTCTAGTTTCGATTCCATTTAGCCAAGGATTCTTTAGTAAAAACTTGCAGTTTTGTATTTAAGTGAGACTGCTTCCGTAGATACAAAGTTTAAATTAAACCGAGCTTCAAAGGCTTTCTTAAGTATTTAAGCCAAGTAACAGATTGTAAAATTTAAAGTAATACACAAAAATGCATATCAAAATACGAGTACTATTTAATTGTTACTCTTTTATTAGGAATATGAATATCATTTTATTATTTCTCCTTTATTTCACTTAATACCATCAATTAAAAACTCATTCACACACACTGCAGCATAGTTGCGTACAATTAATTTTAATATTAAAGACACTCTCGAACCACAAAAACTGCGCATACCGAAATTAAAATTTTATCTCTGGCGAAAATAAATCTTCCAACAATGCATTCCGTCTCCGCACCTTTATTTTCAATTGCCAACCATAAAGTTCGTCCCATAAATAGCCGCAAAATGCTGGACAATCCACATATACAGTACGAATGTGTGTTGTGTGCGGGCACAGAAAGATGGTCCTCACGGATATTTATTCCATTACCGGGGAAGTGACTTTTGTTTTCTGTTGCCGCCATTGCTCCTATCCACAATGAGCTATTGCCCTGTGTCCTCCTGCAAACTGGGGGCATGTGGCTCCTTTTCAGGACTCCTTGGTCCTCCTGGTTCCTCCAACGTCCACTGTCCACGGTTACCATTCGTTTTGTGGACGGAAATTTACGATTTACACGTATGCCAAATGCAATGGCAACTGCAAATGGGAATTGGGAGCGCCTGTCGCTGCTTTTCGGCGATAATGGTTTCCAGGATGCGACTGTTTTCCCTGTTCTTGTATTGTTGTTTCTCGGGGGGGATGTGCTGGTAAAAAGATGCAATCGATGGCAAATAGCGTGGAATGCTGTGAGGAGCCTTAAGCTTTAAGTGCACCCCACATGCCGACGTGCCGAGAGCCGGAACAATTATTGCCAGGGCTGACAACAATAAGGCAGATGAGATGGCATTGAAATTCAATTTCATTGTTGTGCAGAAAGTGGTAGAACCCATTCCCCATTCTCCATTCTCCAGTCTTCAGGATGCTTCTCACTGCTGTTTACACAATCAGCAGTGTTTGCATGGCCAATGCATTTCCCTTGTTCGCCTCTCGAAAGGATGAAGCCGGCGTTGTTAGGGGTAACCCCCTGCCTTGGCTGCAGATTTTTGATTTATCGCAACGCACGTTGCACCAGAATTCAAATCGGGCATGTTGCTGCTGTTTCATGTAAATTTCTACTCTGTTTTCCTAGTTTTTTCCCCCTTCTGAGACAAGCAAAACAGCTACAAATTCGGTGCTCTTCTGCAGAAGGACGTATACAAGCAATTAGAAGGGGGTAGGGGATAGTGCTTAATTTAAAACCAAAGTGAGGGAATTCATCCAGGAAATTAGTGAAGCTTGAGTTCTTTGGCAAGGGGTAAACGATAGACAAACAAATTAGAAAACGCTTTTGAATGCATCTTCAGGTTTCAATTTCAGATTTTGGCAAGAATAATTAACTGAGTGTGGGTCGATTTCTCAATGTCATGTTAAGGTTCTAGTAAGTTATCTGTCAGAGAAAGTTTGAATGCATCTTCAGGTTTCAATTTCAGATTTTGGCATGAATAATGTACTGAGTGTGTGTCGATTTCTCAATGTCATGTTAAGGTTCTGGTTAGTTATCTATCAGAGAAAGTTAATATCAGCTTCAATTGTTCTAGAGTTAGCACATTGGGTAAAATTAAATTTTAGATTTATGCAAAAATAACACACTGAGTGCGGACCGATTTCTCAATGTCTTGTTAAGGTTCTAGTTAGTTATCTGTCAGAAAAATTTAACTTGAGCTTGAATTGTTCGTAAAAACCAATACGTTTTCTTAATGCTAATGGTTAATGTTTGTTTCACGAACGACAAATCTTTACAAAGTGTGGCCCGATTTCTCAATGTCATGTTAAGGCTCTAGTTAATTAT